CATAATACTTTACTTTAAAAATTAATGTATGTTATATTATAAATGTTAAATATAAAGTAGAGTAATAATTGCTTTGAACCAAATATTATATTTTTTTAATAATACTGTAATGTTTGCATTTGAATACACTGCACCTCAACCTTTTTTTGTTATACACATTTTAAAAGACGACGCTAGATTTTAGTGGTAAGTTTGACACTAGGAGAGATTAGTTTGTCCCAGGGGCCTGTGATTTCTCACCATGGCCCTACATCTAGACTTTAAAGAATTTGAAAAATTCTGAAAATCCAATTTTATAAACGCTAACAGTTCTCCTCTAGAATTAACATTCCTGTAGGTAGATAAATTTGATTATAGTACACCATGGGAAATTTATATTTTTTAAAACTTTTCAAATTAATAGAATATCGTTTTAGATTTCCAATACCTTTGATACTTTGAACAAAACTTTCAACCAGAATGTGATGGTCAACAAGACTCCCGAAAGGGTCAAAAGTGAATGATCGTTTTTTTTTTTTTTTTTCTATACTTTTGTATTTTATGTCCTGCAATAAAAATTGTCGACACTTTTTGTAGCAAGAATGTTGTTTCTCTTTTTCCTTGGTAATTCATTTTTTGTAGGGTTTCTTATTGGATTTCTAATTAGGGAAAATTTATTTCGTTATTTATATTATTATTATCGATTTATATACCTACACTTATAATGGTTTAAAAAATACTAAATTTTAGTTAATTTTTCGAGTGCTTGATACAGTGTTTAAGAGGAGGTTTTGGCCCCGGATAACGGCAGTAGGCAACGGTGCATGAATAATATCGTAAGCAAAAAAAAATAAAACGAGGAGAATATTATAATAATAATAAAATATATAAAAACTAATGAGGCAAACACTGCTGCTGTAACAGGCCGTAAACAATGCCGCGGACTTATGGAAACGGAAAATGGGCAGCAGCAACAGTAGAAAGTCCCGCGGGAAGTGGTGCGATAAATATAACGCGTTTTACTCGTCGACAAATTCAAAATTGCCTCGAATGAATATTTTTCAACCCTCTCGACCATAATAGAACCTAATGGGTTATATATAGTCAGTGATTATATGATTTTTCACAGAGTTAATCATAATCTTTTCCTTCATTTATTTCATTTTGTTGTATTATATTATCACGTCATAATATAGTTCTCGTGAAAGTCTAAATTGTAGCATTTGTTCTTCCACGGTAAAACATTTATTCAGTATCTAACAAGCTTTTATTCTTCTGCAAAAAAGTTTCGATATATTTGTGTATGAAGAACAATTTTAGATTTAAATACTATAAACAGCTATCCACATTAAGATGCCAACCCCCCTCACCTTTTTAAATGTATTTTCAATGTTAGCCAAACAATAAGTGATTATTTCTTTAGTTCTATGGAAGAAAGACTAAAGTCAATCGTGTATAGTATCCAAGAAAAGCTAATTAAATTTGTAAATTCTTAAAATAATATACGAGACACACCATGCACTCATTTTGAAAATACATACACTTATAATTTACACCGAAAAATAAAAGGGAAATAATTCCAAAAATTGATTTAAACCCTTTTATCCTGGAACCAAAAAAATAATGAAATTATATATATATAAAAAAAAAGTGAAAAAAGACAGACATATTTCGTAAGATGGGTAGGCTACTATTGTAGGTAAGAAGTTGAGAAGGCAGAGGAGAAATTTATTGTAAATCAGTAGTGCACAACGATTAATCACTGCTAACAAAAAGATATTCTGAACGGAGTTTGATTACACGTGTTTTAAAAGGCTGTACGATTTTCGTAAAAATTCTTATTAAAAAAAAAAAAAAATAAATACTATTTTAAACTCAACATTGTCTTTTTGACCACTAAGTAAAACTTAGAATAAACCTCAATTCAATTATCAAGAATTTCTAGTTGGTCTAAAAATTGTATCCGCACAGTAATTACTAAATACAAATTACGTAAAAATCTTACAAAATTATATTGTCTATTAAAAACTCAAAAAATGCTCAAATGTTTTGAAAATAGTGTTACATTTATAAAGGACAAATATAATTTTTCTGTCTAAATTTTAAGTCTTTATAAACATTTTTAGTTAAATAATAACAAAAATATCAAATTTAAAATAATAAAATAATCATTTTCTTAAAACGTTTTCCTGTTTTTCCCAAAATTTTATGAAAACTACTTAAAAAATTCAAAAAGTTTACATTTTTAGAATACCAATAAGATAAATTTCTATTCAGAAAAGACTACATTTGAAAATCGGAGCCATTTCTAGTAGCAAATTTATACAAGGTATAAAAAAAATAAGTATCATTGGGATTCCAATACATTCCTCGTTTCGCTCAGAATCTAAAATAATGGTAATAGAAAAACCGCACGCACTCGCTTTGCTTAACTGTTTTATCATATTGACAATAATTTAAAATTTAATTCTATTAACATAATTCCTAGGGATTTTAACTTAGAGTGACAATTTTTTCATCTTTATATCAGCTTCTAATGAAAATAAGTCACTTCGGAAATTCAACTATTGAAGGATTGAAAATTCTTGTCAAATGAGTATGCAAAAATGACCTTTTATGATTAAATGGTAACCGGAGTTACTTATTGCCTAAGTAAATAACGGACAATTTAAATTTTTGTACATTGGTGTAAAACTGAATATCGTATTGATATACGTTAATTTAGGGGAACGTTAAATAAATATAATACAATTTCAAGAAGTTAATTTCGTATGTATAAACAAATTAATAATAATAATTTAAATGTCTGAAATAGTTTCACTGTTTACATTTTATCTACATTTTACAAATCCATCTTTCGTTTAGTACTCCGTAGAGAATTCATTATAAAAGTATATATACACGTACAAGGTTAAATCATGACCTTTAAAAATCACCTAGTGTGAAAATAAGAATCGTTGCAACAGTTCATCTCTGGAACTATACTTTTTACATTATCAGTTTGCTATTTTCTTTCGATTCTATATATTGATTTACAATCAAGTAATTAATTTATGTATACATAAGAGGCGAATATTTTGTAACTTTTTCAATAAGCAAATGAGTTAGTATGTGACTTTTTTCTGGCGTTTCTCCTACCTACTATATATTTTGCATACATATATATAAATATAAATAGTGCCGTGCTAAGAAGATGGGATGTAATTTTGGCTCGATATTACGTATACTTCTTTTACGGACTATTTGATGTTCCCTGCTCGGCTGCTCACGTGTTAGTTCGACACAGGCTGTATGTCCCCGACCAAAAACTAGTAATATTGTTTACCGAAAAATATTATTACATTACGAGTAATAATATTAATTTATATAATTTTAGTTAAAGAAAATTTAACTTAATTAAAAGAAAAAAATTATATGAAACTACCATCCGGGTTAAGACGAATAATAAATAATGTTATTAACTATGTGCTCAAAGAGTGAGGGTTTTTTGTTTTTGTAAATTTCCGTAATGTGGATATGACTGGGAAACAATATCACCCCGGTTTCTTCCCCACCTCCACATCACACCCTATATAGCCGTCTCTGCAACCCTTTAAACCCTAGACGTCAGACGTCTTTATACGCCGGTTTTCGGCGAGACGATTATAGTGACGGAGGAGAGCCGCAACAGCAGCACAATCCGTTCCATAGAATCTCGCGCGCGTGAAAAATGACTTGTCACGGATCCACGATGACGTCGTGAAGCGCGGCCGCAACGTTCTCCGACGTTTTCTAATCGCTTAAACTCCGACAACGGCTGCGGCGGCGGATAAAGAGTCACAAAATAGTATCGCGTTTCAAACGATGAAATAGTATTTATTTTTTTTTTTCTTTCGAATTTTATATATCACGTATATAATATACGTCGCGGTCGTTTTCCGCAGACGTCACGCACGCGTATACTTTGCAACCATCTCGTGATTACATCACTTATTTTATCGGTATTATATAATATTTTTCCCTTTTTTTATTTCTCCCTCCCCCCAGCTTCCACTATATATTTTCCACTCTAGCGGGTTCTATATCCATCAGCAGTGTTGTTAAAAAAAAAAAAAACATTAAATAGGTTGCACAATATTTTTGCCGAATTTAGTAGAATTCAAATATTTGTAAGTACAACATATAATAATAACTGAACAACAGCATTTTCTATATGTACATAAGTTTTAGTAACAAAAATGCTACCCCTCGTACTACAATTTTCGTATTTGTATGCCCCCAAATTTGCCATACTTTCCAAGGAGGAATGAAATTTCTAGAGCATTTAAGCACTATAACTCGGTAATTTTTTAACGTGCCCGTGTAGGGTCTTCACTAATATATGTATAGGTATGTTAGGTGCACTTCGTATCAAAAGTACTTCCACTTCTGATATTTTAATTATGTATATCTCGGCGGGGTTTACTGATAAGAGAATGGTTTCAGCGCAAAAAATTTGAATTGGCACCCTATGCAAGTCTTGTCTATAACTTAACATCATAAAATTCCTTCCAAGGGACTTACTCCAGAATCTATCTGATCACAACCAAATTTTGGAAACAGTCTCTAGGTCACCTCAAGACTAATCTTACCAAGTTTAGTATCAATTAGAAGGAATAAAAGGGATGAATCTCCAACAGAGTCAGCGAGTCATCTATATATCAAGTATGTCTGGGCGATAAATGGTGATATAAGAGAGTAGTTAAAACGCGAAAATATTAGGATTGAACCCCCGTACAATTCCCTTCTGTAAGAGTGTATTGGAGTTATACATTTTTTATCCCTTCCGATTAGTAAAAAGTACGTTAAAAAACTACCGAGTTATGGTGCCTTAATGCTCTAGGAATTGCATACCTCTCTGGAAAGTATGGTAAATTTGAGAAGGTATATGAATACTGGAATTATGGTACCATGGAGTATGATAATATTATGATTATTATACCCCCAGCAAACGAATTCAGGAGATATATATATCTTTACATTATGCTACCGGCGGGGTATGATAACCCTAGCATAATCGTACCAGAGGGGGGATGATGTTCCTCGGTACAAAATGCGATGTCAACGGCCACGCATTGCTGCGGCTCTGATTTTTATAAATGTACAAAAATAGCAATAGTCAATCGTTGGTTACAGATATACATTAAATTTCCCCTCTGCATTCCCAACCTTTTACCTAAAACAGTGGCCCACCCACATGCAGTGTTGCGCAAAGGTAACTAAAAATTTATATGGATAAAAATAAAAGATAAAACACTATTTATCTGGATAAAAATAAAGATAAAATTGTTTTAATTTTATTAACTAATCTACAATTTTTTTGTCAATTCATACTAGATTCTACTATCTACAATGTCTATTAGATATTATTAATAATATAAATAAGCGACCTGGACAATATTATTACCTATTACTTAATGTTTTTAATTTTGTTCTCTATCCGTACAAGGTTGATTTACTAATGATACATGGGTTTTAACTTAAAAGTTCAATTTTTCGAATTTCTCGGATAGCTATATATATATATATATATTTATTTATCTAGATGAATTACGTTAGGTAACTCAATTATTCTTTTAAGATAATTCATCAGATAACTGATTTTATTTTTTACCTGGATAAGATAAAAGATAATTAATTATTTATGTAGATAATTTATTTAGATAATATTCAACACTGCCTACGTGCGAAGTATGTCCGTCTTTTCATATGTAACCTATAGTGGTTTATTTTGTTTATTGTTTATCTTTCTTACCAAGTATTATACGTATTATAAATCAACAATAATAATTCGATTTTTCTACTAAAAATACCTTAAAACCGTATTTTAAGGGTTAAAGGGTTGCTTAATAGGGACGAAAACCATTCTATATTTAATTTCGACTAAATCACATAGTATAAGCATAGTCGTATCAAAATTGGTTGTGTAGTTTTAGAGCGCATTGCACGCACACCCATTGTACGCTTAATTTTTATATTTATATATAAATAAATATATAGGATATTCGATTCATGTATTAGTCATGTACATTCTTCAAAAATTAAATATTGCTACATTCACAAATAGTGAAAATTGTACAATTATTTGGTTGTTACAAACCATGATCATATAATTATTAAACATTGCAGAAAAGCACTCAGGATTTTTTCTAATTGGGCTTTTTCCACCTCTGAAGTATTCGATATTATCTTAAGTAACGAAGGTATCCAGTTATCGAATCTCCATTTCCTAATAATAATATTTCCATAACTATGTTTGAAGCATATATTAGGTACGTTCTTTTTACTTTTATAATCGTATTGCAAGATGCGTATTATTGTTTTCAGATATATAATGTATGTAATAGTATATCAAACTATTTGATCGATAAAACGGCCAGCAGAAAACATTTTGTACAGTGCACGAATTCGTAGGAAAAAAATTACCTACTCTTGTTATACGACATAATAATAATGTGTTGTACTAATCGACTACATGCACACTAGCGCGCGGCCGCGTAATAATAAATTAACGACACGAGGACCGCAAAATTCGGTCTCGCTAAATCGATATCGTTATATTATTACATATATATATACGAGCTACAGTTTATTTTTGTTTTTTACGAGATACATAAAATAAACAAAAAAAAACTTTTAGGTCCTGTTTGTATTCGAATAAACGGATGACTGCTGTATATATATGTATAGTATTGACAAAACACAACCTCGTTGCGTACTTTTTTTTATACCTCTCAGAGGATACTAACGTATATAAAAATGTAGGTACCTATACATATCTGCCTATAAACTCGCACCTAAAACTTGTTTCAGGATTTCGACCCTTCATTAACGCCTGGCCCTAATTATTTAATTATATAATTCGTTTTAACGCCGCAATGATAATATCAATATTTTCGCAAGCAAATTGGAGGAAAAAAATGAATTTTAAATGATTTTAAATGGCGAACAGAAACAAATACGACGGACCACCGAGAATGTTAGAAGACTATTATAGTTAGTCTCGAGTTCACTTCTCCAAACACCTACAATACGTGTTTTTGGATTTCTTGTCAAATCAAACCAATTTTCGTGCTCAAATTATTTAAAAACGCTTTGCTACACAATTCCACCACGAATTTTGAGACATAAAATATGTTACGAATTTGCACAGATATAAACGCCCACGGAACAAACATTTATTTTTATTTTTTTTGAACTCCGCCGAAATACACGATGATGGTTCGTTATTAAAACTACCTTCCAGTTTGCCATTTGTTTAAAATGAGGGTGAAGTGCGGGTTAACATGACATCTGATCATTAGTTTTTTTCGTTACTTTTTTTTCACTGACAGTTTTTTTCAACCGAAATAAATAATGATGTGACTCGGGGATATTTTAGATTCCTAGATTCCTAATGTAGAGCGAGGAATGAAATTAATTTTTGATTTTCCCCCATTTATATATTTCTAACCGTTTATTTTCATAAAAATAAACTCTCCAAATTATACACAACACGTAGAATATGTATGTATATGAGGTTTTTCTTTCCTGAAGTAGTATCAGTGGCCTGTAAGAGGTAGATGAGTGTTGTGGCTATATATCCCCCACCCCGTTTCATTGGCTTAAAATTATAATAACTATGTGTATTTATTTAGTCATTTTATTGTATAAATATTGACTTTTATTTGATTCTGTTTTTAAATTCTCATTGCTAGCGGTATTAAATATAACACAAAAACCAGATTCTAATATTTATTCATGAATCGTGATTAATATTTATTATATTTCCTCCCATTAAAAATTATATTTTAAACACAACTGACGGCAAATGACGATTATATACTATCTTTATATTTGTATTACCTATATCCTTACACCTATTCGAGCTAAGATTTTCCCATCGGCTTTTGTCCCTTTGTAATATATTATATTCGTTTTGTCGTCATAATAATCACTAAAATAATTATAGACGAGTACTCTACAGTAACCAAAATGAAATAAAATTTCGGTTACGAACCGTGATGTTAAAACGAGAAATTTTACTCGAGACTATCGATTGTGTAAACGTTAGCTTAAAATACACGCAGTAACGTCGATTATATTATTGCATCAGTAATACAATTTGTTATATAAATTTTGGACGAATAATAAAATATTTATAGCAATAATATAACTGCAATAAGCGTGAATAAAATGTCAATATTAAAATAATATTAGGTATTCCGACGTAATTGCAATGTATTTTGCGGCGATATTATTATTATTTTAAAATATAAATATTTAAATTAGAACAAACTATCTATAAGAGGTCGCGAATAGATAAATCCTAAAGATATATATTTTTTTCTGAAAAATGTATTAAAATCTTCAAATAAAATTATGGTCTCGTGTCGATGTGTTAAAAAAATAATAAAAATAAAAGCGTCCCAGCTGACGAACTAAACGCGTGTTTAAAATGAGAAATAAAATACCATCATTGATATATTATTTTTTTTTTCGACTCTGGCCTTTTGATGGATAGATAGTCATTTGTTGCGGCGCAACGATTGCGTATCTGTGGTGTAACATCACGTCGCATTATCATCGTGTACAGCACTTTAGCTTTGCGATTCTCCTGGCTAAATATACACAAATCGATCATATATTACATCTCGTTTTTATTTTATGCCCCTCCTCCAACTGCAACAGATTATTAATTCAGTGTATCCGTATTGGTTCCCGGGTTGTTACGAAGGGTATATTCGATTTGATTTCCGGATTATTTAAAAGCGAATTTAGTTTGTCTGCAGATTTTATACAGCCTTAAAACTGTCAACATGTTACTATCGATTATATATACAATGAAACCTCTAAGTATCGGACACTTTCGGTCGTTGTAATTTTATCCGTTATTTAGAGGTGTCCGCTATTCAGAGAAGAAAAAATTCTCGAAAAAAATTATTTTTAAAATAATTAAATTTATTTATATTATTTTAACAACAAATATTAAATGTACATATTATTATTTAAAATTATGTTATTATTATGTATGTAAAAATTAATGAAAATAAAAATAAAAATAAACATTTATTTAAAAAATCAGTTATAGTTTGTTTAAGACCTTTATTATTCTACATTTACGGTAAAAATTGTCAAAATCAATAATTAAATTGCCCTAAATGTTTCCGTTAATTTAGAGGTTTTTCCTATATAGAAGTGGTGAAATTATCTCCGTTTCTGAAAAATCTTCCGCTATTAGGAGGTGTCTGCTATTTAAAGTATAACGAGCCGGGTTATCTTTGATTGGTTTGTTATCATAAAATGAACACGTTGGAGTGTAGTTTAATAAGTTGTATTTTATTTAGGTGTTGGATACCTAAATTACAATACCATACGAGAGCTTCCGTAATAATAGTATTTGTATATATATATTAATTAATATACGGTCGGGGTAACATTTATCGAGGGGTTGTAGTGACAACAAATATTATAATAATGATTAAAACTAGTAGGAATCTGTTTTATTACCTGACAACAAGTAATAATAAAATATATCAAAGTGTTTATACGTTCTTTAGGGACCACTTAAATTACAGCGCGAGAAGCAACGATAGGCTAGCGTAAGCATGGTTTGTACAAACAAGGTGACGGACGAGAGAGGTGGTCGCTTTTTCACGAAGCGCGTAAAAATACGGCAAAACCGTGATGTGTAGGAAGAAAGGAGTCGGTATATCGTGGAGCACGTATAAATACGGTAAATCGTGAGGCGGTGATAGAATGCTCACCCGAGGCGTCCGTTGAAGTGGTGTGGTCCATGGACAAGCACGGTCGCTGGTTGGCGGTGCTTGGACGGCAAGACTTGGAACTCGATCGCCTGCGGTCGGACCGTAGAGAATCAATCGGCAGAATCCTGCCCTTTTAAATGTAGCGTCGCTCGGATTTTGTGTGGCGGCGGCAGCTTTTTCGCGGTGGAGACTCGGATATCTTCTTCTACCGTCGATTCCGTGTGGTAATTGGCTCCTACGGAAAGGTTAGTTAACATAATTTTAAATGGTTGTATTTTACGTGCATTTAGGATAACTTTTTCCCTGGAGCTTGCCGTAAATAACGGTGTCGTTGATTAAACGGTCGATGGTGTCCACCATGGGCCTTTATATTTAAGAAAAAAATGTTTTGCGGTACGGTCACGGGCAGACGATTGTATATGGTTTCGAGAGCATTTGTTGTCCTACACAATATTTAATCAAGGTTGGATTTTTTTTAAATTCCGTGTGTATTAGTAGCAAGTGAGCTATTGGTTTTATTAAGAAGTTTATTTTTTCTTTCTTTTTTGTTCTAGTCTATGGACATGTTTCTTCCTAGTAAACTTGCTCCAATTATTACGTGTAGCACCTTTTCTGAAAGCTCAAGTAATTTAAATTGTACTTTAAACATGTCATTTTTTTGATTTTTGAAGCCATTTTTTAAAATGTTTGTATTTAATTGGGAAAAAACGTAGGAAACCGTAAAATTTCACGATTTCGTTATTTTATAAAAACACAAACGACGTTTTCTACCAGAAAAAATGATTTAATCGAAAAATCACTAAATAAATTTTTTGTTGCCTTTTTGGTTTACTTTTTACGGTATCATTGTCAAACTTTTGAGTCACTTTTGAGCTTTTAAGGAATTTTAATTTTTGGGATTTTTTGCTGTAATTTGGTTATAAATACACTAAAAGACTTAAAACTTGAAAATAATACTTATATTGAACTTACCTAGATGTGCTAAAAATTTCAAAATCATCGAACAACTTTTTTTTTTTTAATAATCGTTTCAAAATCAAATTTAATCGAAAATCACAAAAAAAAAATATGACACTTCAAATTATGTATTACCGAACTGTGCTCGGAATCGTCTTTAGTCAAGCAATGGTTTATCGTTGCTTATAGATCTAAATGAAATAATCTTGTGTCTCCTACCTTCCCCACTTCTCACTTACAACCTTGGCCGCTCCCATCCCCAGTATCAGCTCTTTTTATTGTTACAAACGAACTACCGCTTTTCCGTAGCTCTGTTTATTTGTAAAGGTGATTTTGTGGTTTCTCGTATAATCAGAATCGTAATGGATTGGTAAAGGAAAACATGTAATTTGGTCAAGAAAATTCCGGGTTCTGGTGCCTGTGAACGCCTCTTCGGGTGTATACGCGGTTACTCCAGATTGTGTTTGATTTATCCATCATTCTATGAAAGGCAACCATTTGGCCCATGCTGTATGACGGTCATGGCAATAAGTGCGTATAATATGGGTTATTTCTCAGTTTACCCGTTTGACTGGGTTAGTTTAAGGATTGAAATGTGTGGTGAATCCAATCTTAACACCGGCTTGTTCCATTGTTTTTGTTCATCGCTCTTATTATTAAACTGAGTTCCACTATCGGTCGAGTATTTTCTTTGGCAACCCATGTTTTGGTATAAGGTCATGAATTACTATTTTAAGAATGATCCGCGTTGTGATCTTGGTAATGTTCTCTAGTTGTGTCACTGGTCTCAAATTCTAAATTGTTGGTAACGCACTCATTTCTAAAAATGTAATCATTATTCGTGTTGTGCATATTTGTTACGGAAAAATACCGAAAAACACTTCGTCTGGCCAGTGGAAACTATACGTGTTATTATTGGATCACATCATTCGGAAAGTATTTCACGATACGAAACTGAGCTTGTCCACATCACTTCGGCAAATTAAAAACACACTCACAATGAAAGAGGGGTGAGGTGCGATTATCAATTCGACTGTGATGAACTCTTTGGTAGAGACGGAACAAAACGAAAAACTATGTAATATACGAGTACCTACGGGTTTTGTTTGTCCAGAGGAAATAAACCCATTGACCGCTATTGATCTGGTGAATTCTTCTGTTTTCATTTCCGATACGGTCGAACGCGTATCTTATACGGGCAATATCTATATAATGCTAGCTGTCTTGTCCGGCATTGGCCGTGCCAAACACTGAACTAAATACTATTTACTATATAGTTTAGCGCCAAAAAAAATAATAGACAAATTATTATTATAATAATACGCTATTACCATAATTACCCTCGCAGTACAGAGATAATAATATTTTAGGGGTTAGTATTTAAAAGGGGCTGATTCCAACAGCTATATACCTTCTTTGAACAACGCGGAACATTTTGCAAAAACCACGTAAAAATTGCTCTATCAGTACCTTTTTACTGTAAGTAATCTTTACCAGACAAACAAATATCTGTCTGTCTGTCTATCTGTTGACATATGTCAACGGTAACTCTGAATTATTTTTTAGTGTTTACAAATGGAAAAAAAAAATGTTTTTGAATAGAGTTCGACTTACTCGGGGAACCAGGAAAACTATGAAAAAGAAATTTCAAAAAAGTCCAATATTCAAATGCGTGAAAACGTTAGTGTATAAAAAATTGAAATTTAAAAATCTGGTTAAAAGATGGCTCCCGTTTATCGGCATCATTATTTTTATATTACATAAAAATTTAAAATAAACACGAATACCAAAAAAAAAAAAAAAAAACCAAAAAAAGCGTTATCTGCACAAACGCGCTCTAGGTTTAATTTTTGATTGTACCTATAGCAAGTCGAAATCTACGTTAACCATATAACAAAAAAAACAACCGATGTCTTTCTATTTAATATTGTTATCAACCAATCGACCGGTAGGACTTCGGTAATGTTTTTAGCACCGCACTTGGAATATTTTTGTCGGACCCTAAGTCCAGTTTTATCACTGGCTGGTCGCCCGAGGTGAATTTAAGTTTCATTATAGCTATGCAAAAACGATCATAGTTTGGCGAACCCTCTTTTAATACCCAGATTCGTGGTCACTATTTGGCACATATTTTCCTTCGTGTGCTTTTTTTTTTACGTTCTTATGTAAACCCACTGCCACCGCCACTATTTATAACTTAAATGGAATTCTCTCATCTCAAAATACATATATTATTTTCTGGGAAGTACGTTTTTGAAGTTATAATTTCGATAGGTTAATTTTTGTCTAAAGCCGAGGAAAAATTGTAAATATTTCATCCCGAAAACTGTTGAAATTAAAAATAAAATTGTTTTTATCGAATCACTCGATGACAATGTTTTTAAATTATTATATCGGAGCCGTGTCTGTATATTCCGATCACGTGCTCGGCATCTACTTAAATTAGTTACTGCGTTCTATATTGCCGTTGGACAACACTGTGCACGGTTGCACATTCTCACTTCTCTGCAAGTATTTCCAATAATATTCTTCATACGACTTTGTATCGTCGTCGTGCATCGCACAATCATATCTAATGTTGTAGTCAAGTGTCAAAAAGCTGAAAATAATCAAATTAGAACCGTCAATAAAAAATTGAAATCATATGTGTTTACCGTCTAACTACCAGTGAGTGTCAAACAATAACTTGTTTATACCTATTGTTTCTTGCGTGAAGTTCATTTTAATTATTTGATAAAAAAAAATGTTACACAAAACTCGATATTGAAATTTAATAATAAAATCATTGGTATTTTCAGTCAGGCGTCAAATTTCAAGATTTAATATATTTCTATATATAGCATATCATACCTTTCTAAATTCAAGTATGAAAAACAGAGTTTATCGAACACAGACCACGTGGTAGCTTTGTAGCACCCTATTACATCTTATTAAGTGTAAGTCCGATCAATAAAAAATAAATTGACGCCCGACATTTTCGGCTTCGAGACAACATAATTTTAGTCGCTCCCAAAAATTATTTTTTTGAAATGTTTATACTATAACTATTTTGTTACATACAGTGATAGCTCACAACATATATTATCACCGTATATTTGATATAGAAATCAGAGTAAAAGTTCATTTATGGCAATCAAAATGTATAACAAAAAATATTTCCATCGGGGACTGACTGGAAAAAAGCCCAAGTGTCGCACTAGACAAAGAAAGGTAGAAGATGATTAGATGTTGGGTGAAATCAGATATTTTAGAAATCTCCCGAGAAACATAAGAATAAAATAAGACACTGATTGATATAGGTGGAGAGGGGAGATGAAAGCAACACTGGTATTTCATAACCTGTAAAAATTCGTAAAAGAAATCCAAAGAAGATTAAATTTAAAAATTCTAAATACATCAATAAATACAAAATCTAAATACATACTTACTTATATATACAATTTACATGTTCTTTTTTTTTTTTTGTAGATACAATTGCGCCAATATAAATTTACCGTTCCTCTAATAGACCAGAGAAAAAAAAATTGCCGTTTATAATATATGGGCCTAAATATATAACTACTACAATTTTAAAGTCCCAAAATATTGCTGTCAATATTTACTTTTTGTATACTTATAAGTTAGACTGTTGGATTTATATGTTATTCAAACATTTCTATTGGTCAAAAAAAGTTAATTTATACCAAATTAAGTTTCATAACCTAACGATTCTTTGTACAACATTTTACTTTGTATATCTTTGAATATTCTAGCTTTATATACCTATAAGATTTCATACATTTATAAAACATTTGAAACTCGAAGAATCGAGAACCATAAATTAATTGTTCGATCAAGTTAGCTGATAGTTATCCGTTTTAAGATAAAATGCTATTTGTTTCATTCAAATATGTTTTAATGGTTTTTCAATTTGTTAACGATATGGTAAAATATCAATATGGTAATTTCTAATCTTTAACATTTTTTTGTATTTTTTATATTGTAATAGTTTACTTTGGTATTTTTAGTGCATATTGTAAATGTTTTAAAATTATTTTAGGGCATGTACAAAATATACTTGCCATACGTATAAGTACATGTAAAACGAATATGAATACATGAAAAAAATAATGGACGACGTGACATTTCGTTGGCAATATTATAATATAAAATGACGCGTATAATTCAGTGCCTACTATTGCGCGTTGAAATTAATTTTACACGTGTCGTAATAATAATAATAATAATATTTGCATGGTTTCGCTTGAAAAGACTTATTTTTTTGTTTTTGTTTTTCATTGAAAACACACTGCGAGTGTTCGGGTGATTAAAATTTCATCGTGCGCGTTCGTTTTAATTTTATATCCGTACACTTATAACAATTATTATATTATACGGACTAGATTCCGGTCTGGTCCGGTTTACGGAAAGATCAAAAAATGATATAGGGTTATACCTAACACACGGAGTGCAGGGTACAAAACACATTTACATATTTATACTTGACGTTTTGCGTATAGCAGTTAGTAGATACAAGTACACCATCATCTCCACCACCACTGCACCGGTGCGAATAACGCGATTTTCAAAACCATTAATTATACGCTGTCGTCGTCGGTTGAATTATATAAAATACTATAAACCCGCGCAGCACTGTATAATGTATATGTAATAACGCCCGCGTGCCATGGTAGTTATATTATCGTATTATTATTACTCGTCTGTATTAAAAGGTTGAATAGTGTAATTTTTGTTAAAGTGTATTATTATTATTATTATTATTATTATACTCGTATTTGCTTTACTTTTTTACTTTCACTATCCGAGTGTTATAAAATTAATTCGTCGAGAGTTGTATCTTTATATTACTAAACACACGAGACGAGTCTTTTGTTGTTGATCAATGTTGTTCCAAGTGTCATTATCCTATACTATTATTTTTCCCTTGAGATATTTTTACAAATTTAGGGGTGCTATAGTTACTATCGGTAATGGGGCCACTGGGCATACTTGGGGGAAAAAGTAATAATGTGGTATGGATTTTAACATCGTCAAAGAGTTTCTCGCCACGACCACCAGGTTTCAGCTAATTTGATTTCCATAGTCAATAACGGTTTTTGATTGAAGCAAGAGATGTGATAAACGAGTGTTACACGTACAAAAACACATTATAATAAAACCGTTCATTTCGCTCAGAATCAAGTTAACTAGTTAAATATTTTTTATGAATTTTGAAGGGGGCGAATATTTCTATGTTTGTAGAAATACAATTCTCACCACGCACTTGGTGGGATCTGGAATCAGCGCATTCATTTCTAACGATTACTACAATTATTAAAAATTCTACACTATCAGATCGATCGCGTGATTGTTAGATTTTTTATATTACCAGCCATCACCAAATGTAACCGCTTCCATCAAAATAATGTTTGAATATCCTACATTTGTTGGTATTAATGTTATTATTTTATTTAATTTAATTAATTGATTAATTAATTTTAATTTTATTTTAATTAATGTTATTAATGGTATTAAATGTTAATTAACTGTTAACTATTAATGTTTTCGAATCGATCACATTTGAATTTGACAAACTAAAATGCTCAAAAATTAATCATCGTTTGTTTATTTTGCGTAACTCCAAGAGACTTTTGCTGTTTCGCTTATTCGATTAATATTTATTCGAAATTATATGTTCTCATCATAATAACTGATAAAAAACTA